TGATATAATGTATTTTCATTACATTATTTGAATGTTTTTATTTTACATTTTGTAACCAAAAGATACTGCTTTTCTCCCAGTTTTATTGAAATATAATTGATATATAACACTATATAAGTTTAAGGTGTATGGCAATGATTTGATATATGTACATATTGCAAAATGATTACCACAATAAATTTAGTTAATATTCATCAACTCACATAATTACAAATATTTTTTTCCATGTGATGAGAACTTTTAAGATCCGCTCTCTTAAGCAATTTTCAAACTTCCCAGTTGTAAGATAAATTCTGGGGACATAACTTGCAACATGATGACTGTAGTTAACAATACTGTATTGTATAATTTACTTAATTTTTTTAGAACAGTTTCAGTTTTACAGCAAAATCGAGAAGATAATACACAAGTTCCCATACTCACACAGGCATGGTACATTTGTTACGATTCATGAACAAATGTTGATATGTTATTATTTTAAAAATTTGGTTCAAAGTCCATACTTTATTTAGAATTCCTTAGTTTTTACCTAACGTCCTTATATCTGTTCCAGAATCCCATCTAGGATAGCGTGTTATGTTTAGTTGTCCTGTCTCCTTAAGCTTCTCTTGGCTGTGACATTTTCTCAGGTTTTTTCTTCATGGTTTTAAGGAATACTAATCAGGTATTTTGTAGGACCAAAGTTGTTTTATAAGCTAATCTTTGAAGTGAGATCTCATCATTCTGGCCATCCTCTATTTGTTAGAAGCGAGTGCTACTAAGTCTAGCCCACACTCAAGGCGAGGAGATTAAACTCTCTTTCTTGAGGGGAGGAATTAAAAAGAACCCCACCTCCATAACTTGTTAAAACAGATTGCCAGGCCCCATCCCCAGAGTTTCTGATTCAGTGGGTTTGGGGCGGGGTCCGAGAGATTGATTTCTCAAGGAGGCAAAAGATCTGTTCTCAGAAAATTATAAGTTATTGAAAAAAGAAATCAAAGAAGGTATAAATAAATAGAAGCATATACCGTGCTCATGGGTAGGAAGAATGAACATCATTAAAATGGCCATACTACCCAAAGCAATCTACAGATTCAAAGCAATCCTTATCAAAATACCGATGGCATTTTTCAGTGAACTAGAACAAATAATCCTAAAATTTATATGGAACCAAAGAAGATCCCAAATATCCACAGCAATCCTGAGCAAT